GAGAGATATGGAGGGAATGTGGAAAGTCCAAGTGTACCATAGGCCTATTTTATGCATTCATGTGTCAAAGGTTCAGCCATTCGTAGCCCGGTTTACGTCCTCTGTGTAGTTGCATGTAGGTTAAAGGTTTATCTACTTTAACTTCCAGGGCGTCGGGTACAATCGCTGCGGGGTTGTAGTGTGCACTGAAACCACAAGAAAGCGACCCGACCCAATCGGCGGACCCGACCTGACCCGATTGCTTATGTGGGCATCCCCTATTAGAAGACACAATTTTTTCTCCTTGGCAATCGATAGCAGTCTTAGACAAAATACATTTTCTCTGTAGCTTTGTTAAGTCTTCTAGATAGTTTTGTTTCTTTTTATCTCTTAATATTTTTGATAGATTTGTCTTTTCTATACTCTCAGTACTTGTACATTTATTTTCTTCTTTTCTCTCAGTCCCTCCGCCAGACCCTCCAGAGATCACTGTGAGTCAGCCGTCGGTCCTCAGTACTGGAGAAATCTTGGTGAAGGAAAATGTCACAATCAGAGTACAGTGTGAGGTCCGAGGGGGATATCCTGCTACAAGTGACGTACGTCTGAGCTGTCCTAGCTCTCAGGCCGGTAGCTCTGATGTGAGTTCTGTGGTCGTAACTAGGTCACAAGAGACACAATGCTTGTGTACGGCCACTCACGACAGTGGGTGCTACAACAAACGGAGTGACGTCACCATCAAAGCTGCTTGTAAGCTGTGCTCATTTTCTGATCATCTAAACACTATACAAATACCATTTACTTATTGTTCAGTGTAAACACGAAGTTTTACGGTAGACAAGATCAGTGGCACAAATCATTTAAGATCTGTCTTGCTTTTTTGCCTGAGATAGATTTCTCTAGAATTCTCCAACTGCAGTTTGCTTTGAATCGATATTACTAATAATTACGTTTCCATATGTTTTGTATATGACGACCTCCCATTGCCGAGGAGAAAGGTTGACATCTTAGACAGGTGGACAGTGTCATGATGAAATCAAAAAAACAACAAC